GAGCTATGCTCCAAATGTAGCATTTCACTAGTTTCTTCCTAAAATTTAAGTCCAATTTGCTGGTAAAAAGATTATTCTTCTTGCTAAATGCAGGTTTTGCCATGGCAATCCTGGATTTAATGAAAGGTTTCTACCAGTTAGAAATTTCTCCACCAAATTTCAGTATATGTGTAAGTATAAGAAGAGATCACAACATAATGAAACACATCTGTACACACATTTGTGTACTCTTGATAATACAGGCCATTTTCATGACACCACATATACATGTTAATAGATATGAATTGGTTAAGGGCCTGTTTTGACTTTCATGTCTGTGGTTTGGATGGAACTCAATATATTACACATTTGCTAGATTGGTGTTCTCATATGGTAGTTTCATTCACTTAAACTTATTATAAATGTCATAACATTCAACTCCTTTAAGCCTTCTTTTCTGAGCATAATGCAGAGTGAAAGAAGGACATGTAAGATTGACACTATGATTTTCAGAGCCTCTAAGCATCTGGTGCACAATTATTAGAATTCTCATTGCCTTATGGTAAATTAGTATATTGTTAAGTTTCACAAAGCACCCAGGCTTTGCTTGCTGCTGTCATCCATGCAGGATATTCTAACTGCATCATCAAGTCTGATTTAAAATCAAAAAGAAATGTGCCCTGATGTTGTATTCTTCAGCACTTTGCCACCACAGTGATCTGCATTTGACATTAGTCTCCAGGTGGTTAAGGTCCTTCATTTTTGTAATGAGGCTAGGGGATATATGTCCAATAGCTGTAACTGTTTTCTGCAATCTGAAATGTAGGTCTGGTACATGTGCAACCAATGCCCATAATCCCCTGTGACAGAGGGGCTGTAAATGATATATCATTTCACCAGCATGCTGTGGTTGAATTCCTTGTAGAAGAGATCATTTCTGCTGCAGACATTTTTGACCAACTTCGTCATATCTATCAAGATTTCTTCATGGGTAGCAACAGTACTCAATGTTGGGTGAAACACTTCTAAGATAGCAACATGGACATTGCTAGTCTGCCTGCTGGCAGTTGGCCAAGAACCATCATCATGGAATGAACAACCAGAAAGTATATGCACTCATCATGGAAGACAACTATGATAGGGAGATAATAGCACAGCCTTGCAATGGACACAATGCCATGCAGAAGATGATGAAGACTTTGGGGTATTTGGAAGTTATCATTGGGTTCCTTTGTCATTGTATTTTCTTCAGAGACATGCTTCTGAGGTCATTGACTTTGTACTGACCTTTGTGTCTTGTGATGAAAGCTGGCTCCACCATTTTGATCCTGAAACAAAATTGCACAGCATAGAATGGTGCCATGCTGCTTCTACAAAGAAGACAAATGCCAGAACCTTACCCCTGACTCGGAAAACTGTGGGAACAGTTTTCTGGAATGCTGGCAGTTGCATCCTGGTTGATTTCCTGCCCAGAAAGGAAAGTGTCAGTGCAGTTTGCTGTGTTCAGATGCCCCAGAAACCTGTTACTTCACGATGAGCATCCAGTGAAAAGATACCTCATTCTTCAACACAATAATGCACACTTCCACACCGCACACCTTTGGCTGGGAAGTGCCCCCGATTCTCCCAACAGTCTGGACTTGGCCCTGTTTGGGCCCTTAAAGAATCACATTTTGAGTCAGCACTATGAGAAGAATAAGACAGTCCAGAAAACCATGCAGATATTGCTGCAGGATACTGGAACAGGCTTCTACCACAGTCACACTTTCAGGGTCATGCAGCAGTGGCAGAAATGCCTGGATTATTTTGTGGATTTTGTGGAATAGTGACAGGACATTTCCAATAACTGAAGATAGTGTTGGTTTTTGTACATATACTTCTGCTATAGTGGGGTATGTGGTAGCGTAGTTGGTTGAGGGGCTATGCTACAAGCTGGAAGGTTGGGGGTTCAAGTCCAGATGAGGTCATTGGATTTTTTCAATTAACCTAATCCTTCCAGCTGCACTATGGCCCTGAGGTTCACTCAGCCTCTAACAGAAATGAATACCAGGAATTAATTAAATAATTTTCCTGGGGAGTAAAGCGCGGCCGGCGCGTAAGGCTGACAACTTTATGCCATCTTTGAGCCTATTTTCTACATAATGTGGGACCCTCAAAGTCTCACAACCATATGGACCTTCACGGCCTGTTACAAAAGCGCTTTTATTTTTTATTTATTTATTTATTTATTTGTTTATTTTTTTTTTGGCTGTAGTATGAAATAATTGTGCCCATGACTTTCAGTATGGTCTATATATTTGTTAAAGATCATAAAGATCAAATTAATGAGTATTGCTGTTGGTGTGTATGTATCAGTATTGAATTAACTCTTCTAAGTAGTGTTTTTATAATTTTCGTATTATTTACTAATTTTAATTTAATCCACATATATGTTGTAATTTTGATTTAATCTTCGAATGATATGCATAATATGCTGTGTGTTTTCCTAACAGCTCTCCGGAAGACAATGCTTCGTGCTCATCGACAGGCATGGGCATGGCAGGATGAATGGCATGGATTGTCAATGGAAGACATTCGTCAGATTGAAAGACAGACCCAAGAAGCTTTAAAGAGAAAGATGGGCATGGGTGACAGTGAATCACCAGACTTAAGTGATGAGCTGAATGGAGGCTTCACATCAACTAATGGGGGCACCGTAGGTGCCATGACCACACCTCAGGATTCCTCAATGGCCAAGACCCTGCAGGCTACCCTAGGGAGTATTGAGAAAACAGAACAGGAAATGCCAAGTCCACCTGTAATAAAGAAATCAGATATTGTACCAACCATTCAGACCGATGGTTCAGAAGGAGATGGTAGCCCTGAAGATTCACCCACTGAAATTTTCAGGTGAGATGGTATGTTTCATTATAGCCAGGTCATGTTTGCAGTAATTTTCCAAACATTCAGACATAAGGACCACAAGAAACAAATGCATATTGTGTACAGGTAAAAATATTCTCTTGTTTTTACGTTTTTTTAATTATATATGTTTTTTTGAAAAAAGATTGAAAGACCACTTTTTTTTTTCTTCCATGTGCATCTGAGCCCCGATTATGTGACTGATTTTGATCAATGTGTTGGTTGGTTGATAAATTAATTGGGATTAAATAGGGGTTACAGACACAGCCTGACATAATCCCATCAGCTAAAATACCACACTTCTGTACCTGAAACTTATTGATTGTTTGCATTCATTTATAACCTCTTATCATGCATTTTATGGAACCAAGAGACAGATTTTGTAATTCCACTAGAGGACCTTTCTCTCTATATGCTTTTTAGCCTACTTTCTTTATTCTGAAGAAATGTAAGGCATATGAGATCACTTGTCTGTGTGTATGTGTATCTCCCATATCGTTGCTAGGAAATGGCTCAGTAAGTGTGTTCCTGCTGCAACAAAATGCACATGCAACAATAGAAGAAAGGGTGGACATGTCATTTTCTGTGCAGCCCATGTCATATCAAAGGTAATAGTATGTGTACACCCACCCTTATCATTGCTAGGCAATGGCTCGGTAAACACATCCTGTGATGAAAGAATTGTTGGACTTATTGTTTCCTGTGTGGGTCACATTATATCAAAGGAATGTAGGCAGTTCTTCCCAGAAGTCCTTGTTTAATATCATATTGGCCAATAATGCTTTCATTGCAGCTGTGCAAATTTATTGGGTGGGAATGGCATTATAGATTGTATTTTACACGGGGAAAGGTAATTGAAAAATATGCAGCTTTTGCTATTTTTTTATACTGAAATATGAGGGAGAATCAGTAAATATGTCACAAATGGAAGTAAAACAGCTGTAATGGACATAATAGGCTTTCTATATGTATCACTAAGTAGCAGCACAGCACAGCCTCATGACAGTCTAGGTAGGTAGCAGATGCATATATGCTTATTCAGAGGGTGTTTATCAGTAATTGAAATGGTGGGTGTACATGCTGGCAATTGATCACAGAAATTTTTATTTGTATGTTTAATAGTTTATTATTATTATATAACACATTTCTTGGTTACCTTTTGCTAGTACTGTGGAAGTTTAGTACTATATGTATTGTGTGTCCTTTTATTTAAAAAATGCCTGGGAACCAATGGGCAATAATGTCTGGTCTTACAATTTCTTCATCAAATTTTATGAATGTATAAGTGAACTATGTCCACTGCCATTTTCTGAACTGGTTGATGTGGTAACACTCCAGACTTGTATTTGGGAAGTGCTATGTTTAAATC